CGAAAGGTTTTTATGAGGAGCTTTATTTCATGTCAGAAATTCAATCGACAGTCTCTACCCGGAATTAGAAAATTTAACTTAATTTTTTACTTAAATTTATTTTCGATAACTTTTTGAATTTGGTCGTAACAGTATTTGAGGCCGGGCCTTACGAATGGCAGTACGCAATGCCACCGTGCCGCGGTATTTTACTAGAAACCATAGAAACTATTAAAAATTAATTTTTTGTCAATCAAAATTTGTCTTGTTTCGTCGATTTCTTCAAAAAATTTTCAATAACCGGTTATATTTTTCCCCATTTTAAGATCAAATCCTTTTTGTTTTATATTACATTTTCTTATTGAGAGTTACAAGCCTATTCTGTCGAGGGAACAAAATTTACTTTCGTATTCAAATTTACCATTCAGTAAATTTTGTTACCATTTCGTATTCTGAGTTCACCGCCGCCCTGTAAATTTTGTTACCAGCGACATAGGGGTAACAAAAAATCTACTGTTTGATTTTGTGTTGTAAGTTTGAGAAAAAATAAAAAACCAAAATGGGTAGGCATATTTTAGGCCTGGAATTCATTGAAGATGAAGAAAAAAGTGCAAAAAGACGTATGCTAAGAAGTTGCGAGAAAAAAATTATCCTTTTTATTTGGAAGGAGTCGTTTTCGTTCAGCTTTTTTTATCGTTAGGCATATTTTCCAAAATTAAGTTCAAATATTTATGATTTAATAAACAAGTAAATAAAACTTATTTGTTTTGTTGTTCCCAGTCTTCCATTTCGATGTGAAGTTTCTTATTTTTTACTGTACCAATTGGCAAATATAATTCGACATGGTGGAAAAGAACAGTGCTGCAGTGCAGTTGTTTCAAACAATGTAACCAGTTCGACAGAATACCAAATTCAATTCCGGGTGTTAAAAAAAAGTAACAAAATTTACTTTACCGGTAACAGTGAGAATAGGTCTGTTAGTATAAATTTCACATCACTGAGTACTCACGAAAAGCATTGATATTCCTTGCTTGGAACTCGCACTGTACGACCAATTTCATTGCCGCAACTTAACAATTTCACATGCAGCTTTTCCAGCCACATTTCAATTTCTTCAAATTAATATTTAATAGCTATTTCACTGAGCGAAATTATTTTTAAGCACAGAGCAATGTTATACCGACACTAGCAACGAAATAATCGAAACTGAACAGACGGAGTAGCATTTCGCTTGACATTCCTACGGCCATTCGACACTCGACTCGTTTTGGAAACAGCTAAATCATCAAAAAAGTTATACATTTATTTTCGCAAAAGGAAATATGAATAAGAATTTTAGTGTTGCTCTGTTTGGTGAGAAATGGTAGAAATAATTATACAGTAAACAAATTGAGAGAATAAAAAAATTTTCAAAAAACTGTCAAATTGCCGTAAGAAGTTGGAAGAAACTAAAATGTCAGATCTTTATAGTCCGCATCGCCCCGCCGCGTTCGCTATAATCATTTGTACATATTTTATATAATAGATTCAGTCCACGACGTTGGGTTCCGTTCCCTTTCTTACATTATAACCAGCCTGTAAGACGTTTTTTTATGGAGATAACGCAGAAGAGGATTCAATAAAAATTAGCTCGCCAATTATATATAAATCAGCTGTTTACACACCGTTCGTTCACACAGCTTTGCTTTAATAATATTAGCTGTATAGTATTATGGCATTTTTAATTTATTTATTGTATTAATGTAATTCAAAATTTTTGAACTTGACTTGCTACAAAGCCGCTAAACCATAAAGTCCTAAAAATAAATATGCTTGGAAGTCTTTCCGTAATAGTCGACAATGTTAATCGAACATTATAGCATTTCTTGAACTATTTTTTAATAATTACCCAACATATGTATTTTGAAAGACTTTGGCATCATCGACGCTTTCCGCAACCTAAGAAAGTATTATCATCATTGTCACCGTAGCAACAATTTTGCTTTGCTAAGTTTAGCGGCTCCATTAGTAGACTCTGCTGTCCAGTAAATTCCCAAATCACATTGCATTGTAATAAAAAAACAAGAACGTATTATAATTCCACGTTTTCAACGTTTCTAACTTCCAAATCCTCAAAGCAGTTTTTGTGGAGTGCGAGCGATGACTCCACTGCCAATATATTTTCGTTTAAGGAATACTTTCACTATCTACCTGAATCGTTCATATGAATCAATTAAATTCAATATTCCACACGTTTGGCCACTTGTTTTGTTAGTTCCACCGAATGAAATTCAGTAAAAATTGGTATCAAATGCTACGCAAATCAGCTGACTGAACAGGACTAATGTTCGAATTGAATCAGCATAAAATTTGCATAGCCACGAGTTTATTTTTAAATTGTGTCCACAATGTGTTCTTAGTAATTCCTTCGTTGAAGAGTTGTCTGGGTAAGCGATCTGAGTTTGAAAAGGAAATACGCTAAGCGATTCAGTGAAATGTTGATGTACTGAATGTCGTTTATATATGTATGTATATCTAAACATGCACGAATGCGTATGTGCAAATCCGATTATATACGAACATATATGTACGCAACTATATTATGTGCAAACATACATACCATACATACCTATATACTGGTAAGGTTGAGTGATTTTGTTGTACTTCATTTTCGAAGAATAAATGAATGGTTTTGTTCCAAGTACAATTCAACCCTACTTTTTTCGCATGCGCCCCTTTTATTGTGTCATATGGCAGAATTGTTGATTTTTGATACCCACTTGTACTGTGCATACTAACTCAGCATATAAGTTTTGTCCACCTAACGGTTGTATCTAAATGCCTAAAAAATCGAGATACATACAGTGATGGCACAGCAAAATAGTTCCACATTAACGGGCACACCTAGTGTAATGGCCCAAAAAAGGTGATTTTTGGGAGTTTTTATTAAAAAAATATTTTGCCAAGCATTTCAAAATTTTAAGAATATATTTATACATGCTTCAAGAATATACAGTGAAATTTTCGAAGGGAAAAATTTTATATTTTTAAGTTATAGTCGATCTCCAACGGCACGAAAAAAAAGGTCCTTCACTGCAGCAGTGATTATCCGTGGATGAAATCTAAAAAAAAAAATTCTCGTTAAACTAGATAGTATTGTCTGTCTTTACAATGACCTAAAATCAAAAATTGACAATATAGCGGCGTTTAAAAAAAATAGTCGAATTTTACCCAAAATTTTGGTCGTTTTTGGCCTGACAAAAATCGTATGGAAAACTAAATATAGAACATGTAAAAAAATTCGATAGTGATCGGATCATTTGTTTTTGAGTAATCACTGCAACAAATTCGGAAAATGCTGTTTCGAGAAAAACGCGTTTAAAGATAAAACGATCGTTTTACTCGTAGCTAATGAGACTCTCTATCTGCCGAGCGGCTGCTCTTTAATTTGCTATAACTCGAAAACTAATTGAGATATCGATTAGAAATTTTAATGTTATTTTCCTAGGTGTAATCTACCGAAATATAAAATTTCACACTAGGTGTGCCCTTTAACAACTTTTTTTTATCACTTATGAAAACATTTTTAATTTCGAAAAAAAAAAAAAATGAAAGACAGAGGGCAAACTTTCAACTATTTCCACTTCAATTCATTTGTTTACCTTTTTTGTTAAATTAATACTAATTATAAATGAAAAAAAAGTACTAAATTTCCCCAAACAAAAGTCTTGGCACACTGTAAAATATCTCCAACAGAAAATCGGCAGATCAATGATCGAATTGTTTTCCTAAACTGTTTTTTAGTAATTTAAATATGTTTCATCCTGATCCACCAGCATGTCGTTGCTTGGCGTCATTGTTTTTGTTTCTTGAACAGAACGTTATAATGTTATAAATTTAAAACACGAGAATGTGATAGGAATGCAACATTTATTTATTATAGCGCATTTAAAACCGGTATGATAAACTCAAGTGGTAATTTTGTTGCTATTTCAAATATTACAGCGATAACATGTGAGAATCAATTAGCTGAAAGTGAAAAACCCGGACGTTTCGCGTAGACATACCTACATGTAAATATGTACATATTTGCGCTTGCATACATTATCTGTGCTGAACAGTTATGTATACTCTTATTTTTATTTTTTGAAAAGTAAACAATTTATTGGGAAGAAAAATAATATTGTTATTCAAATGTATATGTATGGATATCATCTTTATATTTTGAAATTTTAAATCTCGCTTATAAAATACGGTGAAATTGTAAACGCATCAAATTGGGAAGCTTCTAACCCCCTTTAGTTAAGGGATAAAGACACTTTAGGATTTTAAATTTTTTGCTCACAGGGTACATATATAGGTCTTGAAACTTAAAAAAAAGATTTTTTTTGATAATTTTTTGTACCAAGTACCAAGTGTCAGGAATATTTTTCCCCAGGATTCAAGTCGATCGAGACGAAAATGTAGAAATTAGAGAGTTTTATAACCCCACGTCTTCGTCATGGCTTTACCGATGGCAAAACTTTAAAGGCGTTTTTCTTAAAATCACTTTATCGAAATCGGTAGTTAAAATTTCCCAGCGACTATTGAATCGATCGAGTTCAAATTTTCTACACATCTTTTAAGCATGTTTTTGTAATCCTTGAACGAAGGATTTATTTTATTTTTGATTTGAACTCATTTTACAAGCCATTTTGTGGCCTATTTTTTTGCAAAATATGACGTTTTTTGGAAAAAACGCTACAAAAAATTCAATTTTTAATTTTGCTTCGTTCATTGACAAGGAAAATTCAGCCACTTTAAAAAAAAATGGATTTTTGATTTCAGATAAAAATTTAAAAATTTATCATGACTACCGCGAAAGCACTTTCTTGTGGACTGTCTACTTCACGTCACTGCCAACGCCTTAACTTATACTATTTTTCATTAAAATTTTCATTAAATGTTTTTTATATGTAAACAATTTTAAATTGTATACTTTATTTAGTGTCTTTTAAAAAAAACTATGAAAAGTAAGCTTTTTTTTGCTTTCAAGTATTTTAAATAGCTGAACTTTTTATTTTCTGCAGACCATTGAGCGTGCGGCGCAAAATACAATAGGAACTTTAAACGCGTTTTTCTCAAAATTACGTTTTTCAAACTGGGAGCAAGATTTTTCGGACCCTATTGCTTTCACAAAAATTAGCGAGTTGAATTCTGAATGGAGTTAATATCAGGGCTGCCGAGCCCAACTCTGCTAAATTTTGGTAAAATTTTAGTAATTTGGTAAACAATTATATTTTTGGCAAAAAGTTAACTACACGAAAACCCTGTTTCTGCGTTTATGCTACGCCAAAGACTGTGAATCCATCAACATTCCCCAAAAACCGCTTTGGGGAATATCTTCGCGGTTACAAGAGCAACAATAACGAAATATTGATACGTTTAATTGCGGTCGCCACACCGCAGAGAATTTCAAGCCCTTCGAGTGTATTTCTGGCATGAAATTATGGCTCCTCATAAACAACGATCAGCCTTTCCGAGGCGGCTTAGAACAAACTGTAGGTCCACACCACAAATTGGAGAAGGAGCTCGACCGAAAATCGCTTCAGCGGTTACAAAGCATACAAATGTTCTTCTTGTTAATGCCGAAAAACGTTCTTAAGTATCTACAAATGTATCCACGATATAATAAATGCACATACACATCCATAAATGATTTAATGCTTTATATTAATTAAAAGTGAGATCGTGTCGTGCGTCATAATTCTTATATACATTTATATGTACACATATGCACATCTTCCGTTTAAATGGTATAATTTTTAAGTTGCTGTGAGTTGCAGTGACAAGTTTAATTTATAAATAAATATACACATGACTTCGAATTCGACTAAAATAAATCCCCACTGTGTTAAATGAGAGAAAACTTATCGCCCGTCTGTAACTTTCCAAAGTGTTCGCCATGTTAATGAATTGAATTTTTTAAACCCAGCAAAGTCAGCTACCCGGTGGGATACAATTTGTATGACCTGAAAATGAAATGGGATGTTAACTTTGGTTCGAAGCATGTAATTATGAGAGGGAGAAAAGGCAGACCCAACAAGATTTGAGGTCAGCAAACCAAAGTTTTACTATAAAACCAGCGCCATTATGAAATAAGAAATCGTTACACAAAAATACATAGCAAACTGCTCAATCATCCGAACCCTTTGGTTATCTCCTCGGCCTCCGCGACAAGTTTAACGCGCCTGAAGATAAGGGACTTACTACCCTTGTAAAGAGCAACACTGAACCAGCGGTCCATTCCTAGCCAATGGACTATTATATTTTAATTTAGTTTTAAGATTTGAAAACTTATAATGAAACTTTTGATCTTGAAGCAGATTCAGTGCTAAACCTTTGGAAACGCATTTAGCAAAGAGTAAAAGAAAACATCGCTTATATTTGAAGAGGGTAACACATGGAAGTACTAATCTAAAACGTGTCAAAAGAAGGCAAAGGTATAAAAGAAGCATTCATCCAATTATTTAAATATTTAATCAGCAAGAAAGTCAGTATTTATCTATTTTTACTAAATTGCAGTTGCCAACTAATTGATATTACAAACGTGCTTGTAGAACTTTTCAGCGCCGGTTAAGTTTCAATGACTCTAATCCAAAACCACTTAACATAAATTGAGAGTACATTGAGTTATTGGGACGAACGTTTTCAGCTAGTGTGAAACTCTCAATTTAGCATGTTTTTCAAAACAGCAGTTTAAATCGGGAAAACAGACATAAACGGCTATGAGATGTGTACAGAAATACATGTATAAACAACAAACGTTCAAACCCAATTACCGTATCTATGCCATACATGGTTATTTTCTGTTTCACGCTATCAAAGATAAAAGAGTCTATCGACGGTGCTGTGCCAGTTACCAGGGGGCTAATGTAAGTGCGCCAGTGCACATGTGATTTAGCGGTTATTGTACTTTTGATGAGAGTTTAAAGCAAAAACAGTGGAACATTACTTGCGCACTCTTCCATTCCCATCGCAATAAAACAATGCCGGTATGCGCAATTTAAGTGAACTAAGTGCTGGCGGCCGTAGTAGACGAGTGGAGAGCGGTTAGTGCTTCGAACCGTAGCCGGCGTGTCATGGTTCGAATTCATTCAGCGCAGTCGCATATTGACAGGGACAATAAATACTTCCGAGATTATTTCTAACATTAAAATACAAAGTTTATAAAAGTTCTTCTGCCGTTTGGAGATGACTTGGAACTATAGATCAGTTCATTGGCGGGAAAAAAACTAAATGCACGTGAAGAAATATGGCCGAAACTATTTTAACTGGTAATAAAATCTGTATATGGACATATACGTAAATTGGCAAGGCGAGTGCATAACAAAACAGAAATAAGTATTACTATTACTATTTATTGGAATATAAAATATTACACTAACTTATTCAGCGCCTTAGCTGCTAAGGCCTACGTAAAATAAAAATTTAATATGAAGATATTTTCAATATACCTACTATATATGTTTTAATTGTTTCATATAATTCTGTGTACTTGGACATTTTCTAATGTGACTCGAAAATGTAGGAATTGTTCATGAATTCCTTCCGCCATGTTAAAATTTCTACAAATAATATCATTTGAGTATTTTGCCTCGTTTACCTGGCATTTGCAGCGCACTGCATTGAATCGTGATGTGAGTTCGTACGATTTCCTGCTATTTATCAAGCTGAACAAACCCCTTAAATCGATAAATATGACTGAAGAGATTCAAGACAAATCGCTTAAGTAATTGAAGGCACTTCCGCCGAATGAATATATATATGACTTTTAAGGCAATAAGTAGGCTCATTTTCTTCTTATTATTTAGAACTTCGATATACTATGCCATATCAAATCTAATTTTTCAACTATCGGGGGCCGAGTTATTAAATAAATTACCTGTATGTAAGAAAAAATGGCTAAAAAAAAAAAATAAATAAATAACAATAATAATGGGCCTGTACAAATAGTGTAAACGTGTATGTATGTCTCCAAAAAGGACATCCAAATTTTAGGAATAGCACAGATTCAGATTCTGAATATGAAATTTAATACCGGTCCACGGATGCACAGGAATATGTAAATACAGTGTCAGGTGCATGATGTTCAATATACCAACAAAAACTTTGTCATACTATGTACACACATGACTATACATTACAGTTGATTTTATAGCACAAAATGCATTACGAAATTCATATACCTATTTGCAAGTAAGTGTTTATATTATATTTCGTATTATACTAATAATACTTTAATGGAAACATCGCCCAATAAAGCCTGCAAAACGAATAGACTCCGCTTCTATAACCGAACAACTTATAATATTATTATAAGTTATTAATAATGTGGGTAAAATAACTTAGGCAACTTTACCTGTTATTGTCGTTGCATATGCAAGCAGTCCAAAAAAAGTGTTAAAAGCTGAAAATCCAGTAGGTTTAACAGCTGCTTTGTGACGGGAAGCTCGCAATAAATTTTTACAGTAAAATCCAGTATTGGTAGTGAAGGAAGAAAAGGGATTATACAGCTGGAAGACCTACTGCAACCAACACATTCAAATATATTTTTAGTATGACGTTAAACTTGATCCCTGCCCACGAAAACTGCCTGCTTGCACTAGTGTACTGGGCCAAAAGCGACAGGTTTGTACTTTCGTCGCCAGATGCTCTATTTTGTCTGGGCGTTTATTATGTTATTTATAACTGGTATTGCTTTATATTTATTACTTGACCTGTAGTAATTCACTTTTAACACATTCGGTAACAATTTCTTTGCTAGATTAGTCACATTTTCTCGTTCTCTTTATCGATTTATTAAAGTATATAGATTACTTTTAGTTTCAAATAATTGATATCAAAACTATTTTTAACTTGTCTCTCTTGCTGTGTGTATGAAACACGTATTTGCAACCAAAGCATTTATAATATCAAATAAAAACTCATCACAATACGCAGACTAAAGTATTCATTAAAGAGGAAACTTAGCATTATTCATTAAAAATTAGAATAGGCAGATTTTTGTCGTCACAATTGGAAGGTTACTAATCTGCAAGGTTTTAATTAAATAAATTGTTTAGCAACACACAACACCGTCCGTAAAGAATTAAACACGTAAATCAAACTTCTCCAATTGAATTGCACAAATGAAGGCGAATAAGAAAATGCATAAGAAATCTAACAAAAAGAGGGCTGCACAAATAAGTAGGGTTGCATAAAGAGCTGCCACTCCACCGAAAGTGCTGCCGTCTCCTCAGAGATGCCACTCTTGTATTTTCACAATTTTCAATAAGAAAGCGAAAAACAACAAAGAACAAGGCGAATTCGCGCTGAACTCAAATGTTAGATTTATATACAGACAAAACCAATTTACGTTGGCTGCACATGACTTCCTACTATTGTAACTGTTTTGCAAAATTTAATCACAGGTTTGTTATATGAAACACACTGCTTAGTAACTATACAAATATTACATACTCACTGTTTACGCTTCTGTAAACACATCATTTACTCAGCGTTATTTTCGATGTTGCTTCTACCGAGCTCTTTGCTGAACTGAACATGCAAGCAATGGATGGCTCGTACTTATATACTTACTATTATATGGCTCGCGGCAATGCCTACCTCTAATGTTTGCGAACTATTATAATAGGACTTTCGTGCAAAGAGTTGGTTATCTCGAAAGATGGAAAGGATGGGGTTTTTACTCTGAAAAAAATAGATGATGTTTCTTTGGAAGTATGTTCTCTCCGACCTAATAATACTGTATTTACGATTTACTTCTATAAATAATATTGGCTCATTTTGCTAAAACTTATCTGATTTGGGTTTAATTTTCCCAAGATTTCTTCCATTTCCTCAACTGTTGTATGCGTGTTATTGGACTTGATCTGGAGCCCTGCTTGTCCACGTTGATGCCATGCTAGTAATTCCACTTTTCTTCCAACAGTTCACAAATTCCATTCCTACATTTGATATAACTCCTTAATCTTCAAAATATATCGCCTAGCTTTTTTATATTGCTGCTCTCTTGTGAACTAATATCACTTTACTTCAGTGTTGCCACAAACGAGCTCATCACTCAACTGGCATGCCAGCAGTGTACGCCTCCGGTCTTATGTGCCCATTAATTTTCTCGCATACTGCACTGTAAACTTCTTTTATCATTGTTTTCGATATTTCTGAATTTTTTGCTACCTTTGCCGTCTTTAATTAAGTTATTCGGCCGTTCATTGTAAATTAAACCATTGTAATTAAACCAAGTTGAGTTCAAAATCTTTCGTGTTTGATTACTGGTTTACTAAATAAGAGTCAAAAAAGTTTCTTTATTGAAAAACATTTGCTAAATGTTTACTTACTTAGCTCCGCTAAACTCTCTTAAAAACACTTACAAACGTAACGTGTCAGATAAAACTAATACTAAAACCAATACAATCATAAAAAACCGTTGACTGGAATAATAATACAGTGTTTTTATATTTTAGTAAAAAGGCAGATACGCTTGATGTACATATGTGATAATTATAAGATGCAAAAATTAACATTCTAATTGAAGGTGTAGAAATTCATGAAAGTGGGGAAATTTTTGGACTGACCTGGAAGTGGCCCACGACTTCCGGTCTAAGAACCTGAGTCTCCTGGATACACAACAAATACTGTTTGGAGAACAGTTATGTTTAAGGTTTGAGACCCACCACATGAAAGATATATTCTAATGAAAAGTCAAAAAAAGCCTCGGATGAGAGACCCTCCATTTGATGACGAGCCTGGAATGTCAGGAAGCGAAGGTGCCACGGTCCAGCTGGTTGAGGTCCTCGTAAGAATAATGGCTGATATCACCACCGTCAAAGAAGTACAATGGAGGGAAAAGGAAGGAAGATTGTGGATCCTTGTGAAATATACTACTGCAGCCATATAAAAGAGCGCAAATGGAATGGCATTTGTGGGAGCAGAAAAACTCCGTCGCCGAGTACTGGTATTCACTCAGGGTGATGAACGTCTGTCCACAATCCACACAAAACGAAATCTTTCAACTCTACGTTAATCCGCGCCCATAAAGGATGTCTTTTATGAGCGCTTGGAACATACCTGGATCGCTGCCCCTGCAACGATGTCAAAATTGTGCATGACAAGTTCAATTCCAGGGGGAAAATGGGTTGAGGCTGATCGGCTTCGCCGGGGCCCGAAATATGGTTGCTTTAGTACAAGATTCCAGCACAAGAAATTTCACCAAGCTACTTGGCTATCTCCAGATCGAAAAGCCCACAACCATATCAATCATGTTGTGATAGACGGAAGATACATATCCCATGTTTTAGAGGTGCGTGTCCTAACATCGACTCGGATCACCATCTTAATCGGAAGATACGTAAGCGCCTCTGTGTATCAAAGAGCGTTCGTCAACAAATACACCTGCTTTCTAAGAGCACTCATCAGCAACTTGATATAAGAGAACTATGAAACGGCATCTCAAACTCCCTACGTACCACTGGTACGGAAACAATGAACCGCAATGGAGTCCATACCGCGCAACTCTACGAAAAGATACGGCGATTTATGGAAGACTTCAAGACCGGAGCTAGAGACGGATGCCCAGAGTATACTGAGTTTTTGGAGGAAAGAGCCCGCTGAATGGCAGTGAATTCTTTTTTGCATAATGTTTTATTGAATCTTTCTTTGGAAACCAACAATAATTTCGAATATCTTTAAGCAAATTCTCTCAATCCTGGAACTGATTAATTTCAGTACCGCTGCATAGATTAAAAAAGTAAGCAAAGTACAATAAATTACGAATATAACTTAGATTTATCAAAGAATGTGTTTATATAGATATCATTTAAAATTTAACAAAAGATATATCAAAAAGGATAATTTGAAGTAAATTATAATATAATGAAGGATATATGCGGAGCGCAACTTCGATGTAGAATAATTGGATGCGGCAGAGCCTATAGTTACAGTTCAAACGTAAATCCTTTCTTTTTAATCGCTTAGGGTAGTTCTGCTGCAATAATTTTTTAGTTAGAAAGTTTGGGTGGTTAGACAACCTTAATTAATAATTTTAAAGCAGTTTCTCTATTTCCTCGTTGACGGTTTTAGTCTCGAGATCGTTGTGAATTGTGGAGTTTTTTTTACGTACCAAAACGCTTTGCATATTAATCTTAAAGTTTTAGACTGCAGACTTTGAATTCTTTCTAGGCTAGATTTAGATGCTGAGCCCCAAATTTGGATCCCGTGCGTCCAAGATGGCTTTATAAGCATATTAAAAAGTAAAACCTTGTTTTCTATTGGTTTGAGTAATCTTTTTACCTATGTGGGTTTTCCAGGTGACTATTTTATCCAATGTAACTCCCAGGTAGGTAACGAATTCTTTCTGAGGTATTGTGTTCCCATTTATAGAGATTGAAGGTCATGTGCCTTTTTTATGGTAAATGTTACTTGTATACACTTAGATTCATTGATTTTAATTCCCCAAGTTGTTAGCCATTCTTCTATTACTTTTAAATGTTCTTGTAATCTGTAACTGGCTGTCATGGATTTTGAATGGATACTAACTATTGCTGTATCACACGCAAAAGTTGCTGTGATAAGGTTTTGGTATGTGGGAAGATCGTTCGTATAAATTAAATATAATATAAGACGGGCCCTAAAACACTTCCTTGTGGAACACCAGAAAATATTTCATAGGATTCAGTGGTGTAAATATTTTTTCTAACAAGAATTTTCTGCCAAAAAGAAAGCTTTCTAAAATAAATTTTTACGGGAAGCATACCTTTCAACTTGTATAATAGACCATCTAACCAAACTTTATCAAATGCCTGAGCAACATCAAGGAACACTGCAGTACAATATTGCTTGTTTTCAAACGCTGATCTTATACGATTCTATCCACCTGCTCTATTGTGTGGTGTTTTTTTCTAAACCGGAGTTGGGGCATGGTATGGTCTGTTTCGATTCTAAAAGCGGTAATGTTTTTTTTAATTTTTGATTTTTGAGAATACCGTAATTAAGCTAATATGCCTGTAGAAGGCCACTAAAGATAGATCTTTATCTGGTTTGGGGATCATAATAATCTCCGAAAGATTCCAGGGTTTAGGAAAACAGCGAAGTCTTAATATACCATTAAATATACAAAGCATGTGTTTAATTGCCACATTTGGAAGCTCTTTAATCATATCATCTGTTATCCTGTCGTATCCAGGAGCCTTCTTTTTCTTAATGTCGTTGGAAATAATTTCTTTAAGTGATTTAAAATTGAATTGAATAAAATTTTCATCTGGATCTGCACGAAATTCAGGAAAAGATTTGTATCCAATACTTGGTGTAAATGCAGTGGAAAGATGTATGGAAAATGAGATAGCCTTTTCCTGGTCGCTTCGAGCCCACTCGCTCTTGAAACTTAACTTTTCGCCACAAAGAGTAGTTAGTATCAGAAGTAGCTGACAGAGATTCTACGGACTTTTGAAATTCTTTTTCATTTTTTTGTTTCAGGATATCCTGAAGCTTTATTATGCATATATTGAGCTCATTTTTCAGGGCCGGGGAACGAAACCTCTGCCAATTTCTCCTAAGTTGTCTTTTTTGGTTGCCAGACTTGTAATGTCTTTACCCTGAAGACCGTTGAAAATTTGCCTTCTATGAGTATTAGATAGGTCGTGCGTTGAATATTTCGCTGCCAGATGTAGTAATGTTGTAAAGCCATAAACTGCATTGTCGACATCTGCTATTGATTTAAGAGGAATTAGCGATTTAAGATACGCACTTATGAATTTAAGCCAATTTATAAATTTATTGGTTAAGTCTAGCTGTAAGTCATTGAAAACTGGAATTTTGTTAATGGAACATAGACAAGGCGTGTGATCAGACGATAAGTCGAGAAGGGGTTTTACGCTTACTTGTGCTCTACTGATGCCACAAGTTACTCCAAAGTCAATCAAATCTGGGGTTTTGATGAGATCAGTTGGCGAGTGTGTTGGCTGACCGGTAGATATAACGTCGTTACCGTTATTGTGAATGGCTTTATATAAATTTCTACCCTTTGGAGATATTAGCCTTGATCCCCTGGAGGAATGTATTGCGTTGTAGTCACCTGCTACTAGAAACCGTTTACCTAGAAATCAGTAAATTGAGTTTCTGATATGTTGTATCCAGGGCGGACAATATATTGCGGAAATGTTTATTCCACCAGAATTATCATATATGTATATGAACTGAGGTAGCGTAAAGTTAATCTTTACAGTACTCTTCCATTATATGTATAATGTTTAATTATTTGCCTGATAAGAATTCCAGTTCCACCGCGCACTTTCCCTTCAGGGTGTTTGGTGTCGTAAAACAAAAATGTACCAATATTCAAGTTGTTAAATTTGGTCAAATGAGCATTATATCTGCTGCTTGATTTTCTAAGAAGAGTTGAAGTTCATTTTTTGTTGGACCAAGCCGTTGGCGTTCCAATAACATATGTTAAGGTCGTTCTTGGCTTAGACAAAAGCTTGAAGCAGGAGATTTTGATTTTGCATCATACTTTGCATTGATGTCATATGTTCTTGCTTCATACGTATAAAGTTGATTAGCGTATTTTCAAGTGAGTTAACAGACGGAATAGACGGGATGGACGAATTTTTCGTTGGGAGAGTAGTAGTAGGCTTTGTTTCGGCAGCTTTTGCTTGAAGCTGAGGGTGTGGATGAGGCTGAGAGGCCGGAATGTTGCTAGAAGCCTTTTTACTGTCCTTGCCTTTTAGAGAAATATATATTGGATATCTCCTATAATTGGCGGTGTGATTTTCACCCCAATTGCTACATTTTTTAGACTTAGGGGTTGTTTTAGATTTCATACAGTCTTTTGAACTGTGTAAATCTCCACAAATGACACATATACTTTTTAAAGCGCAATATCGCTTCGTATGGCCAAATTCTTTACAATTATGGCACTGAACAAGACCTGTTCGCTTATGTGGTTCTTCCACGGAAATACGACGGTGAAGAAGGTACGGTAGTTTGTAAATGGGATGAGCTTCTTAATTTTTGAGAGCTGGAAATCTGGCTCAATATTAACCTTAGGTATGAGGTATGTTAGCCATATTTTTAAGGTTGAATAAATTTCTAACCCTGAAACCTCATGAAAATTAAACATCCAGGGAGTCGATGAGCTCGAAATAAAAAACGATGACTATGGAGAAAACGTTCCTCTACCCGACTATGTCGAGGTTCGAATAGCCCGCTTATAGAGCAACAAAGCGGCTGGTACAGCTGCTGGCGGACGCAAATGATATTGACAGGTCTCAACCACCGCGTCGTTAGTTCTCCTTTCCCCAGACTTAATAAAGAAGCGAAGAATGGGTCTGGTAGTGAACAATGACAAGATAAAATTTCTCATGTCATCAAATAAATAGTCATGACATCCGCGACTCGGTTCCCATGCCACTGTTCATAGTCATAATTTGGGACCAGCAAACCAAACTCTACAAGTCACTTATCATACTCGCCATACTATATGGTGCGGAGGTATCGTCCATGCTATGAGTCGCATTTAGGAGTTTTCGAGACAAAGGTTAGGCGTAAGACTTATGGTGTTATGAAACGAAGAGCTGTGTGAAATATACGGCGGCATAATGGATAGGTCTCGGCTAACGGAAATTTTACTTTGCCTAAATACAAAGGCAAATGTATGAGCAAAGGTTTTCCCAAGTGAGTTCCGCAGACGCCATAACTAACATCCTCTTCCAATTTCTTGTTTTGCGTCTTGATGATTTTTCAACAAATGGAAGGTCCTACAGTTTATACTAGCCGCTTACGAATGGTTGATGGTTTTCATATCAGAAAAAAAAACTCGGAGGGCTTGACAATCCTAGCCGAGGGCGACCGCAATTAAAAAAATCAACTTAATTCTTTATTCAATGCTGTCCATTCGGCTATCGCGGCCGCCATATTATATACATATACGAGTACATATATACATATATCCATATAAAATCATTAACATACATATGTACATTCATATATCCTAATAAATTTTAGGGTTTGTTAATCCTGCTTGGAACCCAGCACTGTCTGCAGTTCAATTTAGGCAAAAACAATACAAAAGCTACAAAATACTAAAATTATGTACATATATTAATACTAAAAGTTTGTACAAAAAAGGCAATAACAAATGTATCTATATGCATTGCTGCATACAAAATCATGTAAATATGTCTCACACAGATAGTCTCGTAAGTATAAACTTTAACCAAAGATATTGTCGTACATTTTATACCAAAACCCTGTCTTCTTGAACAATTCATTTGATCGGTCTTCTGTTTTGAACATTTGATATTCCTTTAATGTGACCGGGTCTAATGGCCCCCAATTCGCCTTGGGCTTAAAACTCTTCCTTATTCGTTCACTTATAGTACCGCCAGGGCAGCTCCAAATGGCTCCAACGCCCCAAAAAAGAAGTTGTCCTATACCAAAGGCAGAGAGACACCAGCCAAAAACTACAAAGAAAACAGACTCATGAGGAGAAGTTAATATGCAAATGAATAATGCAAATTACCGTATAAACCATTCTGATAGGTGTAACCGTTATATTGCAGGGGAGTGTAATTTACCAGTGTGTAAGCCAGGACCGCGGCCATAAAGGCGGGAGTAATGATGCCCCAACATACACGATAATAAATTGATGTTTTTATACCCAACATGAAGTAAATGTCCCGACACAGATTTTTAACGCCTGAAATTTTTACAAAACACTTTAACAGTCGCAAAGTGCGTCCTTAAAAGATATTATAAACTAACCATATATCCAACCAACAGCTATCAGCTCGAATATCGCCAAAACGAGCGCAATAAAGGACGCTCCGAAGAAATCCATAAAATTCAACAAGTATTGGCCACCAGGAGTGATGTAGATAAGTCCGATTCCATAGCACACAATAGCAATGCTCACGGCGATAATCCAATTTTTTGTGTTGGTGAATTTATCCTTGAGTACAGTCATCACACAAGACGCCATGCCAACATTGCTTCCAATGCCAAGCACGAACAACATCAAAAAGAATAGGACGGAGAACACCTGAACATTTCCAAAAAGGTAACAAAAATTTTAATTACAATACATTCCCAAGGATCTGCAGAGAATTTATTGTACTTGAGGCAGAAATTCAAATTTCGCTATGGCATCCGGATAAGAGATGAATGCGAGACCCGTGTTACTCTTCACAACGTTTTGTATATCCGTGGTGTTCGATTCGTGGGCTAAATTTCCAAGAATACCAAAAATAATGATGCCAGAAAGCAGGGAGGTAAATGTGTCTAAAGTCGTGACTATCGTGCAGTCCCTAAGGAAATATACATTTAATTACAATATTTATAAATAATCATATTCATATGTATGCAAATGCTTTTGTTGTTATTATTGTCAAATACCTTTTTATATTGTGCCGGAATCGATTATAGGAGGCGTACATTATGATGTTGCCAAAACAAATTGCAAGTGAGAAGAAAACCTGCGTAATAGCTGCGTACCACACCTGGGGATCTAAAAGTTTATCCCACTGCGGCTTCAAAAAGTAGAGAACTCCATCAAAGGCTCCAGGTAGTGTCAATGAGCGTATGAGAAGTATAAAGAGAACAACATATGGAAATATCGCCAATACGTAGGACGCCTTCCCCGAACTTTTAATGCCTTTAATTAATATAGAGGTTATAATAATCCAGGACACAGCCAGAGTTAGTGCAAGGTACCAGCTTGGGTACCCAATACCATCGTCAATAGAGTCTTTTTCACGTAGAATAACTTTTCTGAAATTTGAATTGAGTAAATACGTATGTATGTATATACAATGTAAAATGTTAATAATTTGAGCAAAATGCATTTTTTTTCTCGGAAATGTAAGGAGAATACTTTGGGGTATCTGAAATTAGTAGCTAAATGCCTCAAAAAGAGTTAGTATTTACTGTGACAAATATGAGTAAAAGGTGAAACCTTATACCCGGTAAAGCAACGTGGTTGACCTAAGTGATTGTGATAAGAGGTAAATAGCGTTTGGTCGCTTAATTGGATCAACTGTTTATACTCTTTCAATATAATATAGGAGCTTTAATTGTAGTTGTCTGACTCTGCCAGTGCTCACTTACATGAAAGGTACGAAAACGTCTGGTTATTCAAACCAACCAGCCAGCGATTTATTATAATTTTGGCAATGATCATCACCCTAATAATCAAGATGTAACATTATAAAACATATGAAAAAAATTGGCAGCATTTCTCCTCAAAAACACAAAGTACAGAGTAGGAGAATATTAAAATGGTCGCATACTACCCATACAGCCGGAAGTTAGAATAACTATTCTGGCGATCGGTCATAATTCTGTAACTATTCTTCATTTCGACTCGATCGAAATTTAGTACTCGGCGTTCCGTCATTTCGATCAATCTTTGAAGCTAAGGAGACTATCCAATTCTATTTGCTCTGCAATTCGATCGAAGTTGCGGTTTTCTACGTTAAGTAGGCAGAGAACAGTTAAAGCTTATATTTGCGTGTACTTCAAAGATAATGATCTAGTAAAAAGTGATCCATTATTTTGGTATCCAATTGAAGGCTTAGAATCATCCAAATTATGTAAAATATGCACCGTTTTGCCTTTTGTCATTTCGAAGGTGATGGCTCATAGAAACCCTTGTCTCCCCTGGACTGAACTATACAGATGGTAATTACTTGGTGCGAGATTCACACTATAGAGTATTAATAAACATAAGAACTTCCCAACCGGAGCTTCTGGAGAGTCGCTATCGATGTGTACGAGGTGTGACAATTAAGTAATGAGACTGATTCCATAAAAACCGTATATTTCAAAATTATTCTACAACTCTGCCATCCCCTACAAAGCAGCTATACCACGATTCCAGTGCGTTTTCCATGCTTCGCAACATTTCTGGAACACTTCGACTGGGATGTCCGCCAGTATCGCCGACACGGCCGCCTGGATGTCCTCAATCGACTCAAAATGGGTTCTTTTGACCACCGATTTTGTTCTAGGGAACAAATAAGTCACAGGGTGACATATCGAGCAATTAAGGTGGTTGTTGCAGCACGGCGATCCCTTTAGAGGCCAAATACTTGGAAACGCTGAGGGCTGTGTGGAATGGCGCGTTGTCGTGATGAAAGATCCAGTTAAGAGCGATGTCCGGGCGCACCCTGTTGACTCGTAGTCGCAATCTTTCGAGTACTTCACGATAGTAAACTTGATTTACGGTTTGCCCCGGTGGAAGAAATTCGTTGTGGTCGACTCCCCGGCTATCAAAAAAGGTAATAATCATCGTTTTCACCTTCGACTTGCTCGCGCAAAACTTTTTCGCTACGCGTTGCTCTTGATTTCGTTTTTCCATTTTCGTGACGAGCACCACGAACACACAGCAGGCGAGCAAAACAAGCTAAAGCAATGCAAATATATTAATAGAGAGGAGAAGAGAAAAGAAATTTCAAGGTCGCAGGGTTACTACAATCGCGGCAATATAATCAGTCTTATTACTTTATTGTCACACCTCGTATGTCCTGAAGGAGCATCATTCCCCTCTGGTTGGCCAAAGCTAGGCTTCCTTCAGACGGTCCAATTACTGACAGTCCAAATTAAGGGGCCGGGTCGTAGTGGAGCAATTACACCAATTACACAACAAAACGTTGCTGGCTGTCAATTCTGCCTTGGATACCGTTTATGACGGCTTATTGTCCTCCGATCACGAATCATTGATGATAAGTTACCATTGGTTTCGAAGATGGAAATTCGGTCCCCGAGGTTTTTTCTTTTTAACTAATGTTGGACCCACTGATCTTCTTTGTGTATCCAAAAGGTTTCTTGTCCAATCATCGACGATGCCCATTATTTTATCGAGCATCGAGAGTTACATCAAAATTACCGGAACGAAACCGACGAAACCAAAATTGCACACGATTGAGTGTGCGTATTATTATTTAATATGATTATTATTATTATTATTATTATTATTATTATTATTATTATTATTATTATTATTATTATTATTATTATTATTATTATTATTATTATTATTATTATTATTATTATTATTATTATTATTTTAATCTTAACATTTTCATTTTATATATTCTCTTTGCTGGTGTCCACCTTTGGCATGCGCCCAAACACTACTGAGTTAAGTGAAAAACACTTCTGCCCTTATCTCTTTAAGTGCAAAATATCATCTTTCTAACGCAACCTAGCGTTATCGTTCCTTTAGAACACTACAAAAAAGGTACTGCTTTTTACTGGAAATATAATTAATTCAAAAATGAGTGTAAGACTTGATTTTGATAGTTGTAAAAGTGATGATGATGTGTTTTTATGTTCAGCTTTATCATGCTTTTCGATACAACACAAAAACAATATGAAAATTGTCCTTCGAGAAAATTAGACAGTGAATAAGACAGTGTTGTTTGACAATGCAATTTATAACGTTTTTTACCGCAAACATCTTAAAGCGCATAGTACTTGATAAAGTGGAGAAAACGATGCCAAAGTTTTAATCGAGTTTTTTTCGCGAAAAAATCTTTAGCATACTTGCAAGTGTCCTCATAAAGCCTGGATTTTTTTGGAGTCTGAATGAGTAATTAAATTTCATGAGTTTTGAATATTTCGTTTTTCAACCTAATTTTCTTACAATTCGTCGCTCATCTGAAAAGGTTTATTTCTCCTTTCCTTTCAATTTGTTCCGTGGAATTATCGGCTGCTTTTCAATTAATTGTTACTCTATGCTCGCTGCTTTTTTAGTATTTGCAGGGCTTCTTATTTGCAATCAGTCAAAATCTTAAAAGTCCGTGAAGAAAAAAGTAATAATTTCTGAGAACGCATTATGTGGAGATCCAAAAAATTAGTTGCTCACTTGCAATGGACAGCGAAAGACTCCAGCAAAATGTGAACTGATGTTAGCTAAGCAGCCATTTGTCCGACTTGAGCCGATATTGACAACTAAAATACGAGAGGTTGAGAAGAAGTCAATATCGATCGAGAAGTGCAACCAATTTGAAATTATCATTTTATAAAATTGTTGATTAAGTTTCGAGGAAAACTTGCAGCGCTACTAAGGCTTAGGCCGTTATATTTTACTGTTTTTTCTGATTTGTTTTGTTTAATGTTTTAAATATTTTAGGGAAAACACTAACTGTGAAAGGCGATTCCAATAAATAGACTTTCACAAGTTTCTCTCATTTTTAAAATACGATTAAAAAGCATACTTCAGAGGATCTGCTTAACAAATCGCTAGCGACTACTTAGTAAAAGGAATTGGTCAAAAAATCGTTTTTTTTATATAAAACTTAATTATAATTAAGGTTGAGACCGCTATTACCCTATCTAATTCTACCCGGACTTTAGCACTTCTTACTTTAATTTTAATTAACTATCTTACGTAAAATAGAACTCCGCTGATGTGGTTTTAATGTTGGTATCATTTGTGACAACATCCGTTTTATTTTTTTTGGAGTCAATGCAGGTGTCGCCCCACTCCTCGCGACAGTAACTCCACGGCAGTGTAGGGTAGCACGATTCTATTAAATAACGTAGCGTTAGCGCCATTAGAGTAGCATAATATGTAGAAACTATAGCGGTGCCAAATACTTGACCATAGCCAACGCCTAAAAGAATGAAACATTCAACTTGTGAAATATTTAGACAAAAAGACATTACGTAATTCATAATAATATCATAAAAGGTGTGTTTATAGCAGTCTTAATCGGAAGGTTAACATGATGTTTTTTTCGTGTCAAGATACAATCGAAGGAGTTGATATTATCTGACCAGGAGCGATTGCGCTTAGAATAAAAACGTTTCCATAATTCCAGCATTCCAGCCCGATTTCGCATTTCTCGAGTCGAAGCTCTGTGGAAGAGTTCGAACTGGTGTCTGCCGATAAAACTCACAATTTTTTCTGGTTTTCCGATAATTTTGAACCTTTTTTTTTGTTTTTATTAAGGCTGCAGACTAGAAGTTTTTTTTCAGCAATCATGTCGATTTCAGACTGAAGCTCGGAGTAAACTGGTTTCTCTCTCATCTTCTATGAGGCTGCTTCGCCTCAGGTCGAGCTATGTTAGACTCTGATGTTTGAAAGCTTAAGGTGAGTGATGGTACGGCGATCGTATCAGTCGTGTGGTTAGTAGTGCGTACTGATATGCGGAGGATCATGGGCTCGAAATCATGCCAATCCAATATCCAAAATTAGTTTATTGCGATCGTCCCTTCGCAGATAATGTCAACTACGCCGAGTGTATTTCTGATATGAAATAAACCCACTCAATAAACCAATCACAACACCTTATATGATTTCACCAGGGCATAACTGTCATTTTTTAACTTACCTCGCATTATTGGAGAAAAATCAAAAACTTTTATACTTCCACGACTGGATAATTGCCCCAATAACATTTCCATATAATAAACAGGCTTTCCAACCAAAAACAATACGATTATATAAGGAATCACGAATGCGCCACCACCATTTTCGAGCGCAGTGAATGGAAAACGCCAAACATTACCCAAGCCAACGGATAGAGCAATGCATGACATGAGAAACTCAATGTCGTTCGTCCAAGTATCCCGTTGTTTGGAGTCACCACCGACAACATCAACTTCAGTAGTTATTTCGGGTAGCACGATTGGTTTCTAAAAATATTTAAAGAATACGGATATTTTGAAATGAAAGCTTACATTTTGTTGTAAGTTCCTTAAAGCTCTGAATTTTCACATGAGTTCAATATTTTTAGAGAAAGAGAAGCCGAGACAACTTCGTCTTCTTTAAATAGGTTTGCAAATCAACTCTTAAATTACCTGTGAGGCGGGAGTGGCAATCTCATTTGGCATTGGTGTTACATTTTTTCCATTGTAACCATGGCTTTTTGCTTCGAATGTGGTACGATATTCGCCCGGAATGGACGAAGTTGAGCTATTTGTTGAGTTTGTAGGTACATATGCGTGGTTAACGAAACCATCCTCTTTGGCCATATCTGTTTGTTGGGTATGACTGGGTTGTATTGGTGAAACGTGATTTAAGAAACCACAATAATGCCCGATTTAAGGACGGGACTTCGTTCGATCTGGAAGAAAGCTATCGACTATAGAAGATTATTTGTCCAGAGATAATCATTTACTTAAAATAAATTATTCGAAAAAAGATTAGTTATTATTAATTGTAAATAAAGTGCCGGCCGCGGCTGCCGAATGGTTAGCTTTGCGTACTGCCATTCGGAAGACCAGGGTTCAAATACAGGTACAACCGATATCCAAAAGTTATAGAAAATTACTTCAAATAAATAATTAAGTTATATTTTTTAATTGCTGTCGCCCCTTGGTAGGGAATGCCAACCCCCACGAGTGCATTTCTGACATAAAATAAACCATCAGCCGCTCGGAGGCGGCTTAGTATTATACAAACTATAGCCCCCTCCGTATGTTGGAAACACATCAAGACGCAAAATCGCAAATTGGAGATGGAGCTCGGCCGAAAATCACTTCAAATTCCAATAATATTTAATTATTGCATCTCTTCGGTAAGGGTACAGTCCGATAGCTCATATCTAGGGTCGTGTGATTTCTGACTGAAATTTTATGTAGTAGTTATATGTGGATAAATCATGATTTGAGCACTAAGAACTTTTATCGTCAACAATCAATGTTAACTTCATTTTTTAGTTTTCCTCAGCAAAAAAGATCATACTCCACAGGTCGCTCATTATTTCCGTCCTGCAAGAAGCATATTTGATGAGTTGGCCCTCTTTTCAAAAGAAAGCTTTTCAACTGTCAAAGAATGCATAGGCGACGATATAAGATAATAGATGTTTCGTTAAGATGTCATCTTAATGCCTAAATATTTAATCAATATCTCTCTGTCATTGAAACTCGCTATTCTTAATATTTGGTTAGTGCTCTCTGTGGTTATTTTAACATTTTATAACTCTAAAGAAAATTTAACAAGAAAGAAAAGTCTTTGGTTATGTATTGGGTTGCCCAAAATGCATTTTTAATAAAACTTAGAATGAACTTTAATCAAATATATAATTGCCATTTTGTTCGATAACCTTTTGCCATTTTCCTGGCAAATTTAGTATTCCACGCTCATAGAACTTCTGGGCTTTATCTGCAAAAAACTGAACCAAGTGCGATTTTATAGCCTCATCATTGCCGAAAGTTTTATCATTTAAGGAGTTCTGCAAAAATCGAAATAAATGATAGTCTGATGGTGCAAGGTCAGGGCTATATGGAGGATGCATCAAAAGTTCCCAGCCAAGCTCACTCAGTTTTTGGGGAGTGACCAAAGATGTGTGCGGTCTAGCGTTGTCCTGGTGGAATATGACACCTTTACGATTGACTAATTCTGGTCGCTTCTCCAATTGTTGACAGTAAACATTCGAATTAATCGTTTGATTCCTTGGAAGCAGCTCAAAATATACGACACCCTTCCAATCCCACCAAACAGACAGCAGAACCTTCTTTTGGTGGATATCAGCCTTTGAAGTGGTTTGAGCTGGACCATGATCATTTTCGACTAACGTTTTTGTAAACAATCCATTTTTCATCTCCAGTCATGATTCGTTTTAANATCCGCATTTACTTTTTGGGCAACCCAATAGTAGTTTTTATAACTTTCATGATTATACAAAATTTATGGTATTTCATTTTCCCCTCTCTGAAAATTGGCGGGGTGCTATTTGATGAAGTTTTCCGATTTCGTTCATAAACGTGTGTATAATATACATATGTATGTTCATTGACAATATTTAACAGCAATTACGAATGTATGATACCAAAGCAGTTGTATGGTGGCATCTCTGAATATCTGAACAATTCAGTTGTATGGTGGCTATGATTTAGGTTTCCGATTTCGACGATTTTCGAGGACAATGGGGAGTTGTATATTGTTGTATATTGTATATACGAATCTATAATACCAAATCCCACACGTGTAATTGGATTTTGACGGATTTCAGACCATAAACCTCAAATCTGAACAAATGGAAGCGTTCAACGGTGCATCTGTGTACCATGTTTCTTCAACCTCTTTCCCTTATCGTGCTTACATACGAGTACTTTGGGCCAAAGTTAATGTACCATTTTATGTACATGAAAAAAAAGATGTGATGCAAGTCACGAAAATAATTAAGTAAGTACAATAATGGCCAAGAGAGCTGAGTGTCATACATACTCGTACGCAGCTCACTGCACAACTAAATAGCTGAACCGAACTTATATAAAATGTTGATAAGATAAATTAAATAGTACTCACTCCAACAAGTATCACTTATTAAATTAATTAAATATTTATATCAATGAAATGGTAATATTTCTTGCTCCAGAAAATAGATTCAGCTGTCGTCTATTGGATGGTGGTCAATAGCGTATACGTATGCATCTGGGTAAGCAAAAGCAGGGACCGCAAATAATTATTACGAGTCTAAATAAATCGAAACCCAAGAGAAGCTCGGAGAAAAGTTGAAAAAACTCTCTTGTATTATTTATAATCCACGAATTATATTTTGTATATTTTCCAATTTTTCATCAAAAAATTTGTTGTAATCCTTAATTTTAATTGAAATAATAAAAATAATTAATATTTATTGTATTTTAATTTTTATTCAAAAATCAAATCAAAACATTAATTTTTCAAATAAAAATCAAGATTAGAAATTATGATTAGTTTTTCATTATAAAAAATGAAAATGAAAATAAAGTTGAGATATAATGAGTAGAAAATTCTCCAATGAGCCTATAGCTGAAAGGAAAATTAAAACTAAGTATAGCAAAATATTTTAGTTATTGGTATAAAGTCAGAGAATAAATAATATCGCTAAAATCTTATTTGTTTATTCAAAATGTGCAATTGAATACAAGTGTAGCGTTGCATGAAACATCTTTTTCCTCTCGACTTGTTCAATGAAACATTATTAAATTTTGCGAGAATGTTAATAAATGAATGTCATACGTGTACCTGTTGCCATTGTTATTTATTGTTGTTGCTAACTTATTAAATTATTTAATAAACTAATGGTGGTTGCCTTGTTCTACACAACTTTTAAAGTTTTTAAAATTTTCGGGAAGGTTGATCGCTCACAACGAATAAACCATTGAAACTTTTTTATACCTATAAGTTTTCACTCAGCTCAAGTATGAATAAGCTCTAAAAAATAAACAAAATAAAGTTTACTTTTTCAAATTGTAACATTTGGAACAATATAAAACTGCTGGAAAAAAGTTGGAAAAAAGTTTTTACCCACTGGATTTTAATGATTTTTTTTTTTAGTTGTTAGGGTATACTTCGAAGTTGATTGGAACGGAAGGGACGAAGAAGAGGGGATGTTACACTGTTACGCATATATCTTTACCGCCGATTTTGTCTCCAATTGGAGTCGAACTACGAAAAAAAAACGATTAGCTTGCTCTTATTGACTCTTACATAACAAAATAGCGGTGCAAGTAGCCATTAAAGGAAAAAATAAGGGGGAGCGTAGGTCTTGGTAAAATTTCATAACTTTCTTTTATTATTCCGAAGAATAATTTTCTTCAGAGCTTTAAGATATGTATAATCTATATACATATATAAAAGACTTTGTACTGAAAGACTAACGGATCAATCCATTGCATAAACTACTTTTAACGGGAAGTGAACCTGGGGCCGATCCATTCGAAAATTTGTATTTACCGTTTGATTTTGATTATTGGCTATTGGGAACAGTTGCGATAGCAATTATTAAGCAGAAGTGGTGTCAAGTAGTGAACAAAGACAGATCTGTTGATTTTCAAATATCAAGGTTGATTTTTTAGCTTATCTTTTTGGCACAGCCGACGCATGTTTCGTGTTTTGTATCACTGTCCAACATCTTCAGTTTGGTCTATAATTTAACCATAAATCGCCTTACAAACGAACAACGCTTGCAAATTATTGAATTTTATTATCAAAACTGGTGCTCTGTTTAGAAAGTTCATCGAGCGCTTCGAAGTTCCTTTTTTCCTTGATGGCTGCGCAAGCAAGCAGAATTGTCGATTTTGGAGTGAAGATCATCCAAAAGCATTGCGAAAGCTACCAATGCACCCAGAAAAAGTTACAGTTTGGTGCAGTTTATTGGCTGGTGGCATCATTGGACCGTACTTCTTCAAAGATGATGCGACTCGTAACGTAACTGTGAATGGTGAGCGCTACCGTAAGACAATATAAAACTTTTTTTTTGCTTAAAATGCAAGAGCTTGATAACAATGGACTTTTTGAGAGACGTGTTCGGTGAAAATTTTATTTCGGGACCGGTCAATTGGCCGCCTAGATCGTGCGATTTAACGCCTGTTCCTTATTTTTTGTGGGGCTATGTCAAATCTAATGTCTATATAGATAAGCCCTCTTCAATTGATGCATTGGAGGACAACATTGAAGTATTATTCGGGAGATATCAGCCGAAATGTTGGAAAGAGTTTTCCAAAATTGTACTAAGCGGATGGACCATTTGTGGTGCAGTCATGGTCAACATTCACATGAAATAATTTTCAAACAATAAATTGTACAGTTATAAGCCAACTTTAATTTTTTAATTTATGGTATTCAGCTGTGGGGTATGACCTGTGCTACCAATATTGAGAAAGTAGAGAGGTTCCAGTCCAATAATGTTCAAATAAGTAAATCGAAGTACATCACAAAACTGGAAAATAGGTGAAGAAGCTACAGGCTTGCCAGAACACTACCCACAGGACCGCGATAGGAAACCTCCTGATGTCGCCGGAGCATCACTTGAACAGGGAAGTATCTATGCTACGAGTTAAGGAGCATAATGCTTTGCTGTGCAAGCAGTTCCTATTGGGATGCTACCGCAGGGAGTACTAGACTTAAAGGGCACAATCCAGCAACACATACAACAACCGCTGGACAGGACGGCGTACCGACAAGCACTAAACGCCATTCACCAGGAGTCAGTCAACACCTTCAAGGACTCCCTTCCAGTGAATGGCATACTCGGAGAAATACCACCACCCATAGCAGACAAGGAGCTCGAGCTGCCTGGAGAGACCCGCATGACCCTGACACAACTCAGGTCTGGATATTGTAGCAGGTTAAACT